CCTGTGTGGCGTGAAATCGTTTCGCAATTTAATCAATTTAATTTCGGATTTGCTGCTTAAAGTACTTAACAAATAAGTTTTAAAAATATACCATGATAATATCGAAAAATATATACTCCCTTTTTTTGCTCGTTTCTGCTCAGTGCCAACGACTTTTTGATTATGTTGAAAGTTTTCATCGCTTATGTGGCGGGCAATATGCACATACATAAATACACGAATAAGTATATGTTCCCTTACCCAGACATCTCCATCTGATGCCGGGCATCATCATCATTTTTTATATTCCTGCCAACTGTCATTAGCTTCCTTCGGCCGTGTTATTTATCTGGCGGATGCATAATTGCGTATTATCAGCGTTTTACATTGACATTCTGTGCATTTTTAATGACTTCTTTTGGTCCGAAATAAAGGAATCGACTGTCTTAATGTCTGACTGCTTTCTGTTGACTGCTGACTGCCGCCTGGCGGGGCTCCCAATGGAGGGCATACTGTACCCAATGGAGGGATACAATCGCAGATAGCGAATAAAAGACTTAAGTGTACATCATTGACATTTGACAGGCAGACAGAACATTTTTATTTATGTATATATCATATGTATGTGTATATTTTGCCACCCTCACTGCCTTTAATTTTATGCAGCGTCAAAGAACAACATCTTTTGGTTCTTTTTTTTGCTTATTTTAATATTATTTTTGGCTGGGATACCCAACTCAAATCGCTCAATTCGTTGATGGGACTTTTTGGTTCCTTGCGCCCTGCACTTTTGACAGATTCTCCTGTCAATTTAAGTGGGAGAAATGACTGCAAAAGAATTCAAATTAACGGACTTTGCAAGTTAGAATTTTGTAGCGGCATGTGTAATTTTGTTCAGCCGGTTATAGCTTCAGCCTTTGGACATTTTTTAATTTTTTTATATTTCTACAAATCATAACATCAAAAAAATTACAAAAATATTAAAAAAAAAATGAATTTCTAAATTTAAATGCAGATTTTTAGAGAATTGCGCCAGAAACATTTAGAGGTATGCCGCTTTAAAATCCGATTAAGATAAGTTGAGTTATGGAGTTTAGAACTTCAGCCTTGGAACATTTCTACATTTTTTTTTAATTTCTACAACATCAAACGCCTTCTGCTGCCTATCACATACTTTTAACGAGTCTAGTGTACCCTTTTACTCTACGAGTAACGTGTATAAATGTATATTTCACATGAACCGATTATGATTGTGCTAACAAATAAATACGAATTCAAATTTTATGAGAGAGCGGTATTTGATTTTCGCAGAATTTCAGACTCCTAACTTCCGCTACGATCCATAGTAAGACTTCCTGGAAATGGATCTTGGGCCACTTGAACTACATATATGTATGTACATACATATATTTTATGGACGCAGCCATGGGAACTTGAATGGGGATGTGTCGGCCCGGTCGCAGCAAAGTGCCATAAATAATACGAATAATAAAGTGTCAAATCCTTGAGCAGCCGACAAAGCAAAAATAAATCAAATCAAATGCGAAAAGAATGCCCCAAAAAATGCTATATTTTCATAGTGCCCATTGCCCATACACATCCGCATTTTGTGCAATTAGCCTAAAGGCATGCTCACAATTGAAATCTATCTTATTGTTTGGTTTTTTTGATCTCGCAACTGGCGCTATTTATCGAACTACCGCCCATTATCAACTAGTTAAAACTAGAGATCTTCAGCTTCAGTCGAATGATTAATTTGGCATGGAGCGATGTTCTCTGCGTTGAAATTAAGTAGTATGTTCTGTAGGTAGCATGAATTACGATCAACAGATGAACAAGCTAATATTTCGATTTAGAAGTGTGTTTGAACCAGTTCTATTTTCATTGGATGATTCCGGCTCTACTTGACATTTAAATGAAAATGTTTTTTTCGTCAATTAAACATTCTTAATCACTGAAAACACGAAAGAAATCCGAGCGAAAGACTTCAATTAATTGAGTCGGTCAAATTAATTGAGCTGAATGCGAGTATTCATGCTAATATCAATAATATCAATAATCGTTTCATCTTATGTACATAATCGTACATAATAGAACAACCATTTCATTATTCATATAATGCTAATATAATGTTGTTCAATCGATTTAATGTTTGTCAATCGAATGCCGCTGCCAATTCATTGAGAGATTTTAGTATGGGCATATTAATTAACCATTTCCTGTCACATTATTACAGCAACCTGTTAACACAATCATTCATGCCATCTGATAGCGCGATCTTCAGCGTTTTTGGACACACTTTTTGGTTTTTTATTTTTTTGTTTGGTGGAGTGCAAGTGTTTTGTATTTATCGTAAGTGTTTTCCCTTGGCAAACCCCATTAGCCCAGCACCCGAATGAGGCAATCTGTATGTTGTATATGAATCACGGATCTCGGATCACGGATCCGTGAATCGCTTAGATCTGAAAACTTGTCCGGGGCATTGGACATAAATCAGGCGGGGCGACAATCGTGTACAAAGCCATGTTGTACATGCCTCGACTTCGGTTTGCACTTGTCAAAAATTCGCACATTTTTGCGGTTCCCTTTTTTTTTGGACCTGATTTCGGATTTCTGACTCGATCGGCCTCCAAAAAGTGCGTGCGGTGGTGTGTTGTCATTGTCGTGTAGCCGGCAATTAAAATTGGTCCCCTTCCGCTGGCCACCGCCCCTCGAAAACCCCCCGAAAACCCCTTGAACCCACAATCGAAAGCCACATGGAAGCCCCTTTGAAAACCCACACCCCCCCGAAAATTTGCCAGGGCAGCTGTTAAATAATTTATGAAGTGCGTAGGGTTTCTGGCGCGCATTTAAAGCAGCTCCAGAGCCCCAAACGCAACTCATTTCATTTATTTCACTTCCAAAACTCCGGCCAAATATTTGCGCATCGCTCACGCACTTTTTTTGGACTGCCCCGATCAATTTGGTCGAGGCGTCTCCTTTTCAGATACTCTCATGTAAGGGGTACACCAATCAAATCGAACATTAAGCCAAGAAGTATTTACAAATAACACATAAGAACCTGCTCATGGAAGACTATTTATGCTGAAGATTATATTGCTGGCTTAAAACCATATTAATTATCAGCAGAAAAAGAAGAGCATTTTTGGCTCGACTTTGCATTTGTCGATGTTTTTTTTGTTTGGCCCGTTTCAATTTGATTTGGTTTTGTTAGCCGGAAAATATTTGGCCACGCAGGTTTTTTTCTTTTTTGTCTTCGCTGCGGTGCGTTCCTCATTAAACATTTTGGCCAAAAATTCACTTGCGATCTGCATGCAAATGCCGCTGATTAGCTGGGGCGCCGAGTTGGCCATAAATCAATAGGCCTTTGCGCCTTGGCTGCCACACGAGCCACAAGAGTCCGCAAGTGAAAAGTAAACTGGCCCAGAACAGATACCAAAAAAATAAGGAAAAAGTCCGGCTCAAAGCCAGCTGCAGTCTGCAGTCTGCAGTCTTCAGTCTGAAGAGCGTCTTTGGGATGGTCTGGCCCGCTTATAGTACGGTCTATTCCCCGCCAGATCCGGATCACGAATGCTCGCTCAACCTTGGCGCACAGTCAGGAAACTCCGTCGAGGGTCGAGGGTTGTCTCTGCACTGGCAGAAAAACTCCAACTCCAATTGGGGCGGAATGCATTCCCCACAACGAACCTTACGTTAGCATCTCTAGGGGGCTCATTACTTTTAGTCCTATAAAAGCTGCATGGCAGACTTGAATGATTTATGCAACAATATATGCCAATGTTGTACTAAAATGCACTTTTTTTCGCTCAGTGCGGCGAAGGGAAGTGTTAAGCTCGCCACAGAAAGTGGAAAGGAGAGCCTGATTAATTATGAATGTCTGAGCCGAGTTGCCTGCACTTGCACTTCTCACTTTTTTTGTTTTGTCTCGCATTTTCATATTTCACTTGTTGCACTTGCGGCGCTTTTCATATTTTTACGCTTGCAGAGCTCGCCTGCAGACTTCATATGTACAAACATATATACTTATATATACATATATTGTCTGTGCGGGCAGGGGTGGGGGCCGAAAAGGGGGCGGAGCCGGGGTCAGCGGCGGGCTTTGCAAAGGGGGAGGCACTCGAGCAACAACTTTTGTCACGCCACTCAGTGGAGTTGCAAAGTGGAGCGGTTCGGAGGATCGGGATTACGGGAATTCGGTTCCGATGTCTTCTAAGCCTATTTGAATCCCAAGATAAAAGTTTAAAGAACTTCATAATCTGTCAATTAAATATATACGAAGCAAATATTGCAATTGTAGCAACAAAACTATGGCTGTGTTGGCATTCAGAAAACATAAGGACGCTTTGCAGAAGTGAAACTTGGCGCCTGAACCGCTCCTGTTCTCGCTGGTGCACTTGCCACTTCACTTGCAACATGCACTAATGCTCAGCGGCACGTCCCAGTGTCTTTATCATATAAACGGTGCGATTTAAATTAATAATTAAAGCGAGCTTGTGGTTGTGGTCCCCTGCCTGTCTTCAATCGTCTTGGGTCTCAAGTCTTTATACTTGGACTTGGCCACCGAGTCACGAGACTTTGGGCCATCTGCCGCCGGCAGGTGGATCGCAGGTGGATGTGAGTGGATTAAGCTTGCCCACCCTTGATGCCATAAATCAACGGGGACATTGGGCTGCTCACTGCTCACTGCTCTGTGCTCAGCCAGATGAGAAGTTGACCGGTGTGGTTCATCGCGTACCAGCAAATCCATTGTAGCTCCGACTAGACCATATACTTGCCATCTATCCTGGCATCTGAAGCGATCTAGCCATACAAGAATTATGAACAAAAACACTCTATTAAACTTGAATGTGCCGTAACGCGTTTCAAAATGCAAAAGTTCACTTGGAAGCATAGCATTTGGTCAAGAATATTGCGATTTAAAGCTGCTATTTAAATTCTGAGCGAAAAACCACTGTATAAAGCTATCTACTTTAGAGGTGGTAAGGTTAGCTCTGCCACTGCTGTCAAACCCATTAGCCATTGAAATGGGCTAAAAGCCAGTTGGCTAACACTAAATTTTCCGTTGTAGCACTCAAAAACCAACAAAAATTCAAAGCGCGAACTATGTCCGAAGGGCCAATTGAAAAGTATCAGATTTAAGGGCACGGAAATTGAAGAGAAGAGATGCTGCTAATGGACGCATTGTTCAACAGCCTATTGGTGGTCAGTTCCGGCTATGCGATGTACAGCCTCCACCCCCTGGAAACGCCCTATGGTTATGCAACAGCGACCTTGAGCCTCGTCCACGGAATCTTGGGTATGGTCCGGGCGGCGAGCAACGACGACGATGAATGCAATCGGATGCGGCTGATACCGTCGGGCATTATGGAGATAGTGCCGCTGCCATTGACCAATATCGAGCTCTATCTGAAGTCCAGCAATCCGAGCCTGGCTTTGGCCCACACCTGCTTTGTGGTGCCATTGGTCTACGACATGATGGCCAAATTGGCTGGCACCGAGGACACATCCATCGAAACCCTCAAGGAACTCACACTCCTGGGCAACGTGGTCTCCCTGCTCTTCCTGGGCGTCAATCAGTCCAACAATCTGTATGGCGGCATGGCTGCCATTGCTTTTGCGGCTCACTACGGTTCTGTTATTGACTATTACTGGAAGGGATTGGGTGGCGAGTTCAACCTGCTGGCCCACTCCATGTTTGTCGTCCTGATGACCATGACACTGGCGGCTAAATGAAGATCACTAGACCACCCAGAAGAGAATCTATTCACAGCCAAGGCCAGCGGTTGGTTGGGTTCGTTGGCTTTCAGCTCAATAAACTTGCAATTAATGTTGGCAAATTAAAATGCAAAAATAAACATTAATTGTTTTGTCACATTCGCAGCACGACCAAAAAACTTAAGTGTCTCCATCTCTTTTGTCTTCCCCTTTTGTCCCCAGCGCCAGCAGACGACCTCCATCATCCAAAGATCCAGAGAGATCCAGCTGGGGATAACATTTTAGCTTCAATTTACAACGTCAGCGGCGAGACCCCAAATGAGCCAACTGAGCCAAATGAGCTGATCCCCAACTGAAAGCCAAAAATGCCAAGATGCGAATAAAAGGCTTGAGTTACGATGGTCGTGCTCTTGAAATATTCAATTAAATACTCAAATGCATAAGTAAATGGCTTTCGTTCCACCAACACTACTTTAAAATCACATTTAAAGCTATATCGAAAAACCAGTTGATAAGAGAAGCTGAAAATGTTTCCGGGAGCAGCTCAAGGACATGGCCGAATAAATGTGGCCTACTTTTGGGAGCCGGGAGGCGTCAATCTCGGGGGCAGAATGCTAATAAACCGGCGCCATTAAAACGACCGACAAATGTGCGGAAAAGAGCCGCAAACTCGGCGAATGGGCAATAATTTATGCATTTTAATTAATTGCCAGTTGCGGGACCCCGTCGACGGGTTTTTATGATGGCTCTGAGCGATCGGAGATCGGATCATGCCCCCCTTTGGGTCTAATCATGTCGTCATTTGCATTTCACCGGGCAGCGGGCATTTCGGCCAATTTCCGGGGATGTCGGGGTAAGTTATATTCGACAGACAAACTCATTTGTGCAGCTAGCAGGCGATCCATTTATTTGCTGAACCGAAGAGATCATTGTAGGGAAGCCCAGTAGTTAAATATTAAATATCTTAGGCGGCTACACTAGATATTCCTCTAATATATCTAATCTAATTTAATAATAATAATTAATAATAAATTGGTAGTGCGTACACAGTGCGTATGCGTAATAATTGGATATTACTTAGGACTTTTGTGTGTTGTAAGCTGAGTACTGAAACATTAATCGATAGAGTGCTATGTACTTGTTTGCCTTCAAGGAATTTCCCTTTATCGACTGAGTCCTGTACTGTGACGCTTGTAACCGCTGAAACAATCAAGAGATTTGTAAATACACCCAGAACCAGAACCAGAACCGGCGAAACACAACAGAAACCGCAAAAGAAAAAGGCAAAAGGACCAAAGGCCAAAATAAAATAAGAGAAAAAACATAGAAGCCAGGAAAAAAGAGCGCGCACGATGAATGCGGCTGCGCAGCGATTTGAGCAAGTTCAAAAACCTGCAGTGACTCGGTTAAAAGAGTCGGTTAAAAAAGCCGGCCGGCATTGGCGCAGTCTCCTCTTATTTTGTATTCCTCTTATTTTCTTATTTAATGTTTGCATTTTGCCGATTTTGCCGGCGCTTTTGCTCTTTTTTTCCCCCCGTAGTTGTCTTGTTTATTAAAAAAAATAAATAAAAATAAGAGAAAAAAAAACCGATCGCCAGACAGCGGCATCGTTAAGAAAAAAAAAAAAAAGAAAAAAAACGATGCATGCAAAATGAAGGCGGACATCGGAGAGACCGAAAGAGTGCGAATACTGCTAATGAATGCGAAATGGAACACAGAGGCCACAAATGAACAGATCACGAGGGCTCACAGGATCGCACCATAAATACCCTCGAAAGTAAATTACTTAGTGGAATAATACAAAAAAAGCACTGACCACCAATAATACAATTCAGAAATGAGCAGCAGGATTTGAATGTCCTTAAAATGTAATCATGTAATGTAATGTAGACAATATATAACACACATAATGACTCTATAACTTTATGTTATGCATTTTTTTGAGACTATACCAACAGACACAACAATTGGATATGCCCCGATTTCCCCTATCCTTGCCGCCATATCTTTAATGAATGCCCGCCAATGTGTTCAAAAAGAAACGGTCAAAATGCGAACGACGCCAACGCAACCGGCATATTTCGATATGTACCATATCGCCTATAGCATATGTATCTGTATCTGTGAAAGTATCTGTAAATGTATCTGTATCTGCATGCATGTGTGCATCGCATGCTTGGCGACGGCGCGAAATTCAAAAAAGCTGCGCTTGCGCATTGTGGTTTGACGTGATTTGTTTACGAATCTTAACAACTTGTGTACACAAAATGTTTTAAATTACCACGAACGGCGTCGTCCGTTCAAATATTGCCCGCACAGACACAGAAACGCGGCTCAGAAATCACAAGCTTGCCAACTATTTGCACTGGCAAAATCAATAATTGCGAAATGATTGGGGCTGCACTGAGCAAAAGAAAGAATTCTGAATACAAATTCCGATAACATAAGTCTCAGCATGTACATATGTAGAAATAAATAATGCTTGAAGATATTTTTGTATATATATTAAGATGTCAGCTCGCGCACAGCAGCAATATTTTCTCGCCGTGCAGAAAACCCGTTACACTCGCAATGACTCAAACTCACACACATTCACTCACACAGATGACTTCGATGGCGTGGGAGAGAGCAAAAACTATAGCTGCATTCGTATGAATGATGTGATCCACATATATACAGCCACTATAGACACGAGTGAATCACTCGATTCGCAGAACTACGAATGCAGCTAAATTGATTATCCAGATCACGATGCCGGCATTCTGGCAATTGCAAGTGAATGGGCAATGGGCTGGCAACCATACTGTGGGTATATGTACATACATATAGCGGAGTGTGCCGCGGTTTTCTGGGTACTACTTTAGATGGTTTTGTGAATGGAATGGCAATGCAGCAAATGGGTCCAACTGTGGGTCAACTAACTTGGCCGATTGGATGATGTGCTTGTGCTCATTTATAGCGTTTTCCTATTCAGAGCAATTGCAAATTCATTTTAAATCAATAAGCTACAGTCGGTCGAACATGTTGCATTTAAGCCAAATTTCATTCTTAATAATCCCACTTGTCAGACTTTTCCCTATTTCATTGTAAATATCCAGAGTATACAGTTGAATAATATGCTAATATTTTACTGCATAGAACGATGAATCAGAGATCCAAAACAGATTCGTTCGAATTGTTGTCTCAGCTGAACACAAACAACGCGAAATGGTTCTAAGAAATTCCAATCAACTTGTAACACAACGCCAATGAATCACATTTTTACGAGATCTTTGTACCCAAGATAACCGATACATTTTGGTCCTTCAAAGGCGATTTTCAGCTGAAAAATTAAGACGCAGACCGAAATGCTCTTACAATTAGCAAGCGAGTTAAGTTCGGCAATAATAACTTGTTAATTGCGATCTCCACTTCGAGTTCGGTTGAGAAACATTTCCGCAGCTCATTATGAGGGAGCTGTTAACGAGGGAACACTGTGCCAGGCAAACTAGGAAGTTAAGCAAACTGACACCGAAAACTTGTTGCTAAATTAGTGCAAATCATTTGCATTGATTAAATTGGCTAAACTTCATATCTGAATGTCCATTTAATTTGGCCGCCCAATAAAATATGCATAAGTTTGCACTTACAAAAAAAATTCACTTTTTATAGTTCTTCAAATCCTTGCTGAACTATTTAGTTGGATTATACGGTAAATTATGGTAATAATAATTGTTCATGTATAAATTTAACATTACACATTTTTTATTATCTGACCAACATCGACTTAGACCCAAAAAGTATACAAACTTTCTCTGCGTGTAACTATTGTCTTTTTGGTCATGATTATTGGGATGGGCCCTGCACCTGTCGCCAGGTTGGCCCAAACTTGAAACTTGGTTCGTCATTAGTTGGCCACAGTTAGCAAACGAGTTTTATCGTTTTATAGTTTTATACTTTTATAGTTTCATAGAGATATCCAGTTTTATTTTTTTTGGTCCCATCTTTGTGCTTGCATATTCATCGGCTGTGTGTATATAATTACGAAAATAATCATTATGGTTATGCATTAATTAAATTAGTTATCTCGCCACGATTGTCACATTAAGAATGTTGAACCGACTTTGCTTAAATTTTCTGGAAATAGTTGTAGGTTTCTCTTTAGCAGACGAGCCTCTCAAACGCTCAAATTAGCATACGTGCATTTAGCTTTCAAAGACCTTTCAATGGTCATTGGCTTTTTTACAGATTAAATCTTTTTGCTTTCAACTAGTGAAGCTGTAAGATATGATAGTGCCTAAAATGCTTAATTTCTTTTGGTTTGTTAACGAACTGAAATACAAAGTATTCGTAATTTATCGCATTTCATTTAAAGAACTTACTTTGTAGAAATTCTTTCACTTTACCTACTGTGTTATCAAATTTAGGTATTCAGACACATGTATATAATTATATATAAAATATATAAAGATGTTCAAATTTTCGCCGAATTTTCGCGATCGGTTTTATTTTAGCTCTGGACGACACTATACATATATGGCAAGTGACGCTACGCATTACACAAAAGTCGTCTGACACATTTTCTACACGCCGGCACTTAGATAGAAAAACGAATGAGAAAAGCGGAAAAGCGCGCGACGGGCTGGGGAAAACATTTGAAAAGCATTTTCAGTTGTCAGTTTTGTGGGTCGCGGGTATAATATACATAGAATAATGTATGGAATGGATGTAGTATACTATGCGTCATTATGATGAGCCTGTGAACCGCTCTTTTTGTCGATCCCAATACAAATCCAGATAAAAAAAAAAGTTCGTGGCTGAAATTCAAAACCCGAAAAACCAAAAGAAGCTCACAAATCCAAAAATCCTCAAATGCTCGAGACAAAGGCAGACTTCTTACCTGTACAGCCCAGTAGTTGAAGTGCTCCGCAAAAGGACAAACTTTCATTCAGTGGGCAAACAATAATCAAAGCGTAATGAATGGCCGGGAAACAAAAAGATTCAGATTTATCGAAAAAGCGAAAAGGTGGTTGAACCCCCTTTTTTCTCTTTCCTACAGAAGAAGCTTGTCCTTGTGCCACCGAGTAGGTAACCGAAATTAACAATAAGCTAAATAAAGGGAAACCCCTTCTAATGGTACAGTCCCGCCAAAGGGTATCATATTGAAATCACTTGACGGAGTGACGTGGCAAATATTTGCGCCGGCATCCATTAATTTGTCTTCAGCTTGAAATTTATATATTTCTATTCCAATGCGGAATGATATCTGTTGGGA